GAGACCGCCGGTGGAGACCACCGGTGGAGACCGCCGAAGGCTCGGCTTCTGGGGTTGGTTTTGCCTCGTGCTCGTCGTGCTCGTCGGTGGTGTCACACCGTCCTGCTGGAGCCGGTGCCACGTTCGGTGTTTGTCGTCGTCCGTGAGGATGGACGCTTCAAGGAGAGTCACAGCGTCGACCGAGAGGCCATGGCACAGCAGCTGCGTGATCTACGTGAGCACGCGGGGTGACCTAAAAGGGATCTGAACAAGAACTTTCTAGACCCGGGGGGGGTAGGCTGCTAGTAGAGTTGAGGTAGGTTGTAGCTATAGAAGTAGGTAGCTATAGTAGAAGCAAACGGTTGCTATAGTACCTACAAGTAAGCTATACTACAATATATGGACGCAGGATAGCGCTCGCACTATTTATTTGGTTCCTTCCAGGATGGTTCTATATATATCCACTACAGGACACCGGACACCACGGGTTCGTCCCAGAGAGGTCGTGGTCTGCCCTGGCCAAAGACCAAAAGAAAGGTTGACCGACCGTGTTGTAACTGTATACCAGGACCCTCCTGTCGGGGTGCCCTGTCTGGAAGCCTATAGGTAGTGTGGGGTAGTTCATTGGACACTCCGACAGGAGGGTCCTGGTACATGCTTAGTATAGACAATGGTTCTTTGCAGACCAAAACCATGGATCCTTCATGTCGCTACCCTCATGGAGCTTTAGGGACTTTTCACTCACTCACACCACCCAGCCCACGGTGACCCTATTGGTCCAACTGCCTCGTGTGTCCTTTGGGCCAACCCCACGCGTGGTCGCCCGAGGTGACCAGCGAATTGGCCTCTCTGGCGGCCAAGAACCAGGCTTTCGACTGGGAGCGGCCCGAGCGGCGTCCGAAGCGGAGAGGGTTGAGTTGACTAGTCGAGCTCTCTCCGGTCGACTGTCCGAACACCAGGTGTGGGTTGACCGTCGGATGGGTCGGATGGGGTGTTTTTGGTGTTTACTGGGTGTCATTGATGGATGTGTTGTTGTTTAAAGCAACGGCCTCCGAACCTAATAGCGATGGCCTCCAATCAAGATAAACCTGGTTTTTAGCAGTTGGTAAATACAAAGATCATCAAAGATCACTCTTTTTGAGATGGAAAGGCCTCTGCAACCAAACTATCATCATCCACAACGCCCCCGTGATTATGAGAGAGATACCCAAGTTCCCCAAAAAGTTCCGGTGCCCTCTTTTTCGGTGCGACTGTCCAAAAGAGAGTGTATGGGGGTGGCACGGGTTTGGCACGGAGGTACCGGTGAACCGCCAGTGAAACGCTCGGGTTTCTTGTTCGAGTGGTCGGCCGTCTTGTGTGAGTATACGGCCTTTTGGTCGATTCAGTCTTCTCATTCGTGCAAGGAGCTGAGAAATCTGGTCGAGAATTTCTACAACCCAGACGCGACCCTGGACCCGAACCTATGCAGGGGTCGGACCCAAATCCTATGGAGGGGTCTGGACCCGAACCAATCCCGGTTTTGAGGGACCAGTCGGGCTGTGAACGGAGCGTCTGGGAATCACCTCCATACTTATATACCAGGACCATCCTGTCGGGGTGTCCTGGCTGGACTACCCCACACTACCTATAGGCTTCCAGACAGGGCACCCCGACAGCATGGTCCAGACAGGGCACTCCTGTTCAAAAGGCCGACCAGCCACGCTCCGAGCGATCAAACATCACCAGGCCGTTCAAGTGAAAGCCGTTCAACCACGACAGGTGCGGACGATATGAACTCGGCACTGGGGTGGAGGCAGCACGTGCTTTTGTTGTCTGTTTGATGACTCAAGTTGGTGAGTATCCGGTGAACAAATCCGTTTTCGGTCCATGTCAAGCCACAAATTGGTTGGAACCTCGAGATTCTGCAGGAAATGTTGATCAAGATCAGCTGGAGAAAGTAAGAGAGAGAGAGAGAGTTCACTGCCAAAAACCGGGTTTAGCTCTTCTTTTTCGGACCCAAAGATGGAAGAAGGCGAGATTCGTGCGAGTGATGTAAAAGAAATTGTCCAACCTTGGGCCACAAGCTCGTGTCTTGAACGGAGATGGCCTGAACTTGGGTTCCATCACCTCTGAGAACACCGAAGCTCTCCGTTTCCTTGTTTTTTTACAGAAATTCCAAGTTCCGGACCTGTTCCCTGTGGATCGCAGGCAAAGCGTAAGGAACCAGGGATTCGTTCGGTCGAACTGGTGAAATCGTCGTCGTTCGGAACTGAGAGTGATCTCCCAGCGAGAGGAGCGACCTCGTGGGTTGCCTGCCTGGATGGGGTGGGAGGGGTATCCCAACCCCCCGTAGTAGCTTCTTGTTTCTACGTTCGCAAATAGCTTCTTGTTACTAGTAAGGCCCTTGTTACTAGTAGCGATGCACTTGTTCCTAGTAGCAAACATTGTTTCTACGTTCGCAAACATGGTTACTACTAGTAAGGCACCATCTGCCTAGTAGTGTGGCACTTGTTACTACCTTCGCTAAGCTGGATGTCCTGGGGACGACGAAACGATGCCACAGGTACCTGGGCTGGAGACCCTCTTGCCGGAGAAGGACTCACACCACTACGGAAAAGGATCTAAAAGGTTATAGATACCATTACTCTGAGAAGATGAAGCTGTTGTGGTTATCCTTCAGGTATTTTGCTGACTGAGCGCGCAAGCTTGCGTGGCAATCTCTTTTTTTCATTCCGCTGGACCCGACGAGTCACCTTGACTGCGAAGGATACAGGAGGCATTGACTTCCAGGCACTGGTTGGCGTAGGTGAGGCGCCCAGATTCTGTTCAATCAAACATCCCCAGACACTCCATGGGATACATGATTACATTGACCCCCAAAACCACCCCTGGCCGTTTCTCGGTAGTCCGGACTGGCAGTCCCAGACGGACGTCGTGTTTGGCATGGCTCCAGAGTTGGTCCGAAGGCTGGCCTCGTGCTGTTTGACCCGGTTGCTTTGGGACGTCCAGACGCGCCAGATCACCCCGCCGTGCGGTGCTGGCCGTCAGACCGCCCAGGGATGGAAGCAGAGACCGACGAGGACGGCGATCCGATCAAGAGGCCCAAAAGCAGTGACGGACGGTGAGGAAAAAGGACAAAACATGGCCCGGCGCAGTGCTTCCCTGAGAATCAAGGACCCGACCCTCAGTTCGGTGAAGGTTTGGTTCGGGTCCTGTCGGGCCCCCTGCGGAACCTGCAGGGTCCGGTCACCCTCCAGTTCGGTTCAATGATTCTTAGGGTTACTTAACAACCACCGGTCACAATGTGGTGCCACCCATGCTGGGTGTAGCTGACATGGTCGTATGTTCGACCCCGGGGTTCCTGAAATAGACCAGAAGCATCCCAAAACCTAGCCCAGGCATGCCCAGGCCTGGGCCTGCATGGGGATCTCGATCATATGTAATCCACACACACCGCCCATGTAAACTCTTGATATTTCAACCCCCCGATACAATGAAGAGGTCTTACATGGTTTTACAATCCATGTTTGGGGGTTTTATTCATCAAGAGACAGATGCAATCCAATAACGCGGTACTTCGAAAAAAGAGCGTCAAAGCTAAAGTCGCGGCATGGGCAACATTAAATCACATCATTCGTCGTGTTACCGTGGGTCGCATTTCTCTGTATATACCCTACCCTGATGTGTTGCCAGTTGTTAATTGCGAAACTCTGAAACAAGAGATGCAAAGTGTTTGGTCTTCCATTTGAGGGGCTTAGGCGAGTCTCCTGCGGGCGCGCTGGGGTGAGCACGTCGTTCACTTTCGTCTCAGCCAGACGATCAAGCCTTCTAAAGGACCCATCAAAGACCTAGCCAACTATATAAATCACCATGCTTAAAGCCCTGACGTACTGCTTAAAGGCCCGGTTCCATGGCCAGTATTCCGTGTGTCGCTAGCGTCATCTCAACAACTGTTGGTCCCGAGACACTCCATGTGTTGTGGAAGAGTTATACCTTAGCCTGGTCTGCAACTATTGCATAGTACCGGAGTGTCTGTGTTTGGAACCTCTCGTTCCTAGGTTCCGAAGTTCAGATCACCCCAATGTTGGAGGCCATTGAAAATGAGGTGTCCTTTCTTTCTCTCTTTAGCTCTGTGGTGTTTTTTCATGTGTTTTTGCTAGGTTGGAGGATGTTGGAGGCCATTCCTTGCGGCCATGGCCTAGGCCTAGGCCATTCCTTGCTTCCAAGGCGGAACTCCAATGTTGGCCGGCACAACAGCGCAGAGGTCCTACCGAAGCCATCGATGCTCACAGTCGCTGGGCTGGCACTGGAGAGGGGGCAGGCTCGGTCCGACTAGATGGTGCACTGGTCGCCCCCAGTGCTGTATTTTGATGCTTCGACTGGCTTGGTACCATTGGTGTGACACCAAAGGGCACCCAGGACCATGTTTTGTCATATTATGTTTTACCCAGACGCTCCTGGACCCTCATATGCAGGGGTCAGACCCTGATATGGAGGGGTCTGGACCCTCAAATCCCTATGGTTTTGAGGGACCAAGGGCTGTTTGGAGCGTCTGGGTAGGCCACAGTGTAGAATGTGGCACCTCGAACCCTTCTTTTTTGCGTCCGCCCTTCTAACCAGCCGCCGCGAATCGTCGCGAATCGCTTCGTCACCAGCTCCACCGCGGTGGAGCACCGAAACGAAGGGAAAGCCCACCGTCCGTCCTGCCGTACCGTCCCCTAGGTGTTCACCCACATCGAGCAACCTTTCTTTTACCAAGCATTTCTACGCTACCGAAACGAAAATTCAACTGTTCGGTTGGTCACAGGGTTCTTTGGCGGAGCGGAGAACCGCAATAAAAGACAGCGATGCCAATGGTTCTTGCAGGACCTGGTTTTTGAGAGGTGAATGAACGTGGCATGTGTTCTGTTTTGAGTTGAGCAGTTCTCTTCATGTCCGGTGTGTGTTTCTCAAATGACTGGGTGAAGAACCACGACGACCGACCGTCCGTGGCTTCGACCGACCGACCGACTCCGGATCGGTCGTGCGAGGTCAGCGACGGGATGTACCGGAAGCTCGGTGAGGTGGCCAGCCGGCGCGAGGTCTACGACTTGCAGATGGAGCTGCGGAAGTTGAAAGATCGTTGGGAAGCCAGAGCGGATCGGTTTGGTTTGAAGAAACCAGCGCTGGAGCTGAGCGGAAAGTAAGAAACTCATGGAATTCTTGAAGTCTGTGCAGCACGTGGGCTCTCATCTTAAGGTTTTGCTGTAAGAAGAAGAGAGAGTGAGGAAAGTCGAGGGAGTCTCTGCAGATGCTCACCCAAAACTGGGTGTGAATGCAAAAGGATAGCTAGCTTGAGATGTTTGATGCTTGACCTTCACAGGGTGTACTTCAGAAGCCCCTAAGTGCCCTAAGTGCCGTGCACCGCCGATGGTTTGGGACGGGGCCACGACTCCAAGGTGAAGACTTCAGGACGTTGACCTGCCCGAAAGCTGAAAAAGCAGCCCCTCCGACTCGTCAGGGAGACACCAAATTCTCCATTGCCCTTCCTCCTTGCGTCCCCAATCCTTCGGCGTTACGAACTTCCGAGCAGTTCGGAATTCCAAGCCGCTCTGCATCCATCCGGGGTTCCCCAAGCCCTTCCGTAATGCGAGGTCAGCTCCAAGAGCGCATCTTCCACAAGTTCAAGTGCCAAGCTATGCGCCAGCGCTTCGAACGGAAGGCCTTTTGCGCGGCCGAGGAGTTGGCCTGTGTTGGTGTTGGTGTTGGTGTTGGTGGTGTTGTTGTTGTTGTGGTGGTGGTGGTGTGTGTGGGTGGGTCGTTTTTCTTTTTTTTAAGGGGGGGCCCGCTAGTACGTAGAGGTGAGGTAGGTTAGCTAGCTAGGTAGCTAGTAGAAGCAAAGGAGTCGCTAGTAGCTACAAGTAAGCTACTACATATGGACGCAGGATAACTCACGCTTCTTCAAGGAAGCTCTCCCTATTAGGGCGGGGGGAGCTTCCTTGAAGAAGCGCTCGCACCAATGATTTGTTTCCTAGATTTTTAGGGAAACTATAACTAAACCTTTCGATGGCCTCCTCCACCCTAGTAGCCAACGGGGGGTTGGCCCCTTGGGCTTATCACCGAGCAACAAGGTGATTGTGATCATTGGTGATCAATATGAAGAAATGCGAGCAATTCATGAACCGTGTGAGAGCCATTTACTTGTCTATAGCAGCTCAAAAAAAGGGTTGAATCACACAGCCCGGCCTTCTTCCTATCTCCTACGGCTGTTGGATAACCTTCGCAGGTGCGGGAGCAGGAGGCGACCCTCGAATCGAATTCCTCCCTCTTGAAACACTTGGCCGAGATCTCGCGGAGCGCCGCTGGTGCCGCAAGCCCAAACGGACGCGAGCGCGCAAACGTACGCGCCCCGCGCCGCGGAGGTTGGGGAGTCATACGTCGGAATGAGTAAATACCACAGAGACGGTTACCATGGGACTGGCATATTTACATTGGGAATCATTGGGGTGGCGATGCCAGGAGCCAGTAGCGGCCTTGCTCCTAGTAGCGAGGCCAGGAGCCCCTAGTAGTTTCTTGCTCCTAGTTTCAGGGGTCAATGTATCTATTATTATTATTCCATACATGGAGTGTTTGGGTATGTTTGGGTACTATAAATGTACTTCGGAGTGGAGATTACTCGCCGGGATTCCACTGTGAGCCCCCGTAGGATTCTAAGGGGACAGGGTTGTAGGTCATGTATTCACAGGCATGTTACTAACTTTTGTCCTGTCGGTGTAAGCATGTGATGCGTGTGTGTACCCAGCATCCTTTTCAGCCCTTCCAGCTTGACTTCGAAACCATTCACCCAGGAAGCTGCTGCAGCAAACGACTTCGTCAGAGGCAGGGTGGTGTCGACCAAAAAACAGGAGAGGTTGAAAGAGCGTGTTCTACAACCCTAGGGATCCAAGTACCTTGTCAGCGGGTGATTGGAGACACCGCTATGTAGGTTTGGAGGGTCCAAGTACCTTCTGAGAAGGTACTTGGATCCCTAGGGCAAGTAGATGACATGACCGTCGGGCCATGCAGTGGATTCCGCAACAACTTCTCACGTTTCTTCGGTGGTGATTCTTCAAGCATCACGATCTGTCTATGTGGCCATTCCATCAAGAAAATCTCAATAGTTCGTTGATGCGCGCGCTTTCCTGTGATGTTTTTGGTTCATATGGATTGCACCTCTCCGTGGATTGCACGTTTGCCCCAACAAAAAGCTGCACCTCTCCATGTGATCCCCTCATGTCAAATAGGGTGGATTTTTACTCGAAATGAACCGATGCTGAGTTTCTCACAGCGCTGGTGAGTTGCTCCAGGCGCGCAGGAAGTCTCCGATGCTGAAAAACGCACAGAGGACGTCGGGGGAGGTTACCCCACAGTCTCCAAGAGAGCAGAAGAATGCAGAAGTTGCAGTGAGCTATGGCCAAAAGCCCCAAATGCATGGTTTAGCGGGGATTATATAAATTAACGCCTACCCAGTTTTTCAAGGGATACTGGTAGGTGATGACCGTCGTTACACTAAAAACATATTCTAAAAACCCACGGTTCACGAACACACAGTGAGACGACACATCACGCGGAATGGTCAACGCGCAGAATCGGAGAACGCCATGGGTCTCATACCCAGACGTTCCATGTATACCATATATATACCTACATTGACCCCCCAAACCACCCCAATGTAGGCATATATGGCAGTCCCATGGAGCGTCTGGGATATGTGTCCCATTGGTCCAAAAGGTCGATGACTTTCCGGTGGTCCGGGTATGGATGCGCCGGGCGCGTCTCTACGCGACGAGTGGACTGCCGGACGGACTGCCGCCCCAGAAAGGCGGCACCACCCCTGGCCGTTTGCAGTCCTGGCAGTCCCAAACAGGTTGTATCTGGGCATGGTCTGTGTGAGTCGAGGCGTCTCTCGGTGGAGCGTGACTTCGGTGGCGAGCGTCATTCAATTGATCGATCGCACCGGTCCAATGCTGTGTCCAACGAGCTGCCACAGATTCTTCCAAAAAGAGTGACTATTGGACGTTGCATGACACACCCATAAGGTATCCAATGGCAGTGGGCTGCTTGTACTTTCATCATCTCCGAGTCAGGACACGTACACAAAAAACAAGAGAGCAGAGCAGAGCACCTTTGCTTGTTTCCCGGATTTTTATATGGTTTGCCTGCTTTTCAACCACTGTCTATATATACTGTCACCCGTTTGCCTTCCGTCCGACCATTCTTCAAAGAATGAAAAGCATTGGTTCTGCTGGTTGTGCCGTGTAAACCCTTGGTAAACCTACAGGTCAGTTTGGCCTCATTTTACTGGAGGTGGTCATACAAAAACAGGCTGGACTTGTAGAGCTAAGGGTTCTACGTGCTTCCTAGTAGCAAGAACCTATAGGTTGGAGGCCGTTGCTACTGGAGGCCATTGCCACTAGTAGCTCCTTGCTACTAGGTTGGAGGCCATCGCTACTAGGTTCAAGGCCATCGCCAGTAGGTTGGGGGCCATTGTTACTAATTAGGGGTGGAGGCCAAGTAGCAAGAAGCGACCGAACGTCACGAGCGATTCGTCCTGGGCGGAGCTCCTACGGCTCCGACGTCCAGGAGTTGGGCCCGGTGACCGACTCCAACGCCGAGCAAAAGCGGCGGCTGGTCAAGTGGTGCGCTGGGTCGGTTCGGTCGGACGATCCGAGGCATGAGATCAACGAATTGGTTGAAGGGAACATTTGCAAACCCACCCAGCGTTTTCGGGGTGGTTGTTTCTTCCCGGTTTTTCGACGTAGATGTTCAAAAAAGATCAAAAAAGATAATACTTTCATTGACCGTTCAACCACCTGCGCGTCGATTCCTCAGTTTGAGGGAAAAGAACAGGTTCGAACGGCTTGCGTTGCTGCGAAGCGGTTTCTGCGCAAAGACCAATGGGTGGAGCACCTTCTGGCGGCGACGAGGGAGCATCTTCTCACTTCGGAAGATGGTTTGATCTACCCACGCGAGCGATGGCCTCCAACCTACTAGTAGTTTCTTAGTTAACTAGTACGTAGTAATGCCCTTAGTTAACTAGTAGTGACGCCCTTGTTCCATGAGATGGCCTCCAACCTACAATCCAGATGGTAAGAGACCTACATGTTCAAGAAGAGTTGGACTCTGTGTAGCGCAGCGTTTTCTTCAGCCGTTCGCAGGAAAAAGAACAAGAGCAAGCAGCTCTACCACATGAAGAAAGGTGAGCTTCCGAGAATGACCGTTCAGACTGTTGCTGTGAAAGCCAAGAGATGTTTTCTGCAGCCTGTTGCAGTCCAGGTCGAGCAAGAGATGTAATGACTTTGCGCAGTCTCGTATTTGTCATTGACCAGGTACCATCTTGTTCAGGACAGAACTGAGGACGGCTCGTTTCGTTGAACTTCGACATGAGAGGATGTCGTTGAAGGATACGCTGAATTCTCCCTGCAGTCAAGGGCAATGTGAATATGCACTATTACTTTTAACAGATAATTTTTATACATCTGTCAGAAGACACCCTGTGGCATGGATCTTCCACGGAATGGACTTTTAAAAAAATGCACTCATTGGTCGCCTTCCAAGCATGAAATCTCCTGAGGTGTTCGAGATCATGAGATGGCAGGAACAATGGATGTGGCATCCTTGCTCCAGGAAATCCAGTCCAAGCAGGACGAAACCCGCGTCTCATAGGGGTCTCGTGTGGTTTTTAGGTTGGCACTCTATAGACCTGTATAGACCTGGCGTCGATCTGTTCGTACCTCAGAAAATGGAGCCCCAGTCGTACCTGTTTTGATAGGGTCACGTCCCATTTTCTTTGGAGGGTACTTGAAGTCGGGTCCAGGGAAACAGAAAATGTTATTGTAGAAAAAGTTCAGAATCAGCGTATCTTATAGTCTTCCATCCCTAAGAATCATTGGACCCTCCTATGGAGGGTTTGGACCCTGCATAGCAGGGGTTTGGACCCTCAAAACCTTCACCTTTGAGGGTCCTTGATTCTTAGGGATGTATCAAACATCGCCATGGTCCAGGCTGGTGCGACACAACAAGAAGCCAAACACACCCCAACTGGCACTCGCCTTCAGTCGACGGTCGTCTCGGTCGAGTCGGCCAGCGCCGCCATGCGCAGCCGGTCCCTTTCGTGTTGGAGGCCACCGGTGTGTAGCGTCGCAGAAAAAGAGCGATCTTCACAAGTGGGGAGAGCGATCCGATCTTCACCCAATAAGTGACTACCAGGGGCCCGACAAACCATCAAAAACATGTTGTTCCAAAAAAAAAACATGGTTTTTGTATGTGAAAACCGTTGTTTTTTCATGGTTTTCAGGGCTCCTGGTAGTGACTAAAGATCTCTTCAAGCACCTACTAACCGATGACCACTCCTTGAAACCATGGTTGGATGACCAACAGCTTGGCCCGTTGTCGTCCTATTTGGCCCGGGAGAAAGATGCAAATCCGAAGACCAAACATCCCCCACCATCTTGGCCGGGTCCGCTGGAGACTCCAAGAGGAGGGTGAGTGGTGCCATCCACGAAACCATGATTCTTTCGGGAAAACGACCAACGAACGCAGCAAAAAAACAATCAGGCATCGCTCGTTCGACCCATGCATCCTTTAAGAACCAAAGATGCCCGCCGTTGATGTTCGGGGACAATGACTCACCAATGGGTTTGGCAGGAGTTGGTGAAACATGGGTTGGAGAAAAAGAAGCTACGGTGTGCTGTTCTTGACGCGCCATCGGGTTGGGTGCTGCCTTTCTCGCCTGAAATGGCACGACCTAAACATCGGTTCTGGAAGGCGCCATCTCCGTCCCCGGACGTCGAGCTGTGAAACACGGCCAGGAGCTGGTGAAGATCTTGCAACAAAGTCAGAAAGAGCCTGGACCCTTTGATTTGAGATCAGAATGCATTGATCTTTGAGATCTCAGACGGTCTGACTTCAGACCTCTTTGCACACACACTGCTTGTTTCGTGCCGCGCATGCGAGCAACTCGCCATGAAAGACACCGTAAGCGACCAGGTCGTTTGGCTGGTCGTCGACCGGCTGTTTCGCTGGCTCGCCCCTGCGGTCCACCTCGCCGAGGTTTGACCAAGAGGTGGTGCGCGCCAGTCGCCACAGCGCTGCCAAGACCGCGAATGTCCGTGCCGCCATGATCGAACAACGACAAGTGAAAGACGAGACGTTACTGGGCACGTGACCGGGTGCCGCTGTGGAAGACGGTCGACGCCCGAATCGTCACGTCCCGGCACGTTACGGTGGATCAGGTCACCGGTTAGGCCATTTCAGCGGCCAAGAAGGGGAGACAAAAAAGGGTGGACAGGTGTCCTACTCAAATGCACTATAGGTGGAAACAGGCTCCGGCAGGGGAAACAGGCTCCGGCTCCATGTTTCAAGGAAACGGCTCCGGGGTCAGCTGTTCCCCAAGGTTGCTGGGCGTGGCTTGGTCCCCACTGTTTTACACATCAGATGCAGCATGATCTCCCAAAAATCAGAAGCAAAGGAGGTCATCAAGGCAAAACGAATGGGACATGCTAGTGGGGTATCTCACTATGCTGGTTTTCCACAACTCCTTGGATACATCCCAGCATGGCTAGATCTACACCATGAACCAGAAGGCCCCTGAAAATCCACGCGCCCTCGCCCCCGTGTGGCTTTGTGTTGGCTTGGTGAAACTGGCTGCGCCTCCAGTCTCCACGAATCAACCGGAACATGAATCCATCGGCGAGGCGAAGAGCGTCGGGGTGCTGGTGTCCCCCCCAAGAACCCGAGAGCCGAGTCAACCATGCGAGCGAGTTGCGGAACGCGCAGAGAACTGCCGTGTGCTCCGATTTGTATCGACCGGAGGTACCAACGAGGTACCCACGCATGTCGTTTGTTCACCAATCCAGGTGGTTTTGCGCAAGTGATGAAGGGAGGAAGGGAGGAAGCAGTGAGAGGGGCTGGGAAGAAATGACTTGCACAGAGGTGCAGGTGAGACCGGGATCCAGATACATCCACAGGCATCCAGACCCAATGATGATCGTTGATGAACCCACTTCCGCATCTCCATGTATTATACCTGGACCTTCAAGGGGTGGTTAATGGTAACGGCTAAGGGGCTATAAATAGACACCCCTTGGAGGGTCCTGGTATACGTTATCGGAATTCATCATGTTCAACGATCAACATGAAAGAGGATCACCGAAATGTCTGTGTTTTGCTCTGAAATGAGACTCCACACCCCGCGTATGTCGCAGTGAAATCTAGTGAAGCAGTCTAGTAGCCAGTTTCCAGATGTTTCCAGATGATCCGTTTTTTGGAGATCGGCAACCAGGCCCCATCATCGTATTTTGGTCAGCAAAATGTGGGCTTGTATTTCCCAGTGCATCCCTGGCCCAGTTACCACTGTATAAGTAATAAGGAACCAGGGATTCGTTCGGTCTATGGTTTTAGTCCATGGTTACCAGCTGTAGTGGTAACTGGATGCCCTGGGTCTTACTTTGGGGGACCTCCCAACCATTCCCGACCAATGTGTTTAGTCGTTCATTCGGGTCGTGCTGGGCTTTCGCTCCGCTCACGTGAGGTTCAAAGAGCTTCAAAGGCTGCGCATGGAGATGCAACGTCCCGACGGGACGAAGAACGTGGTGCGGGCGCCCCAACCGTCCAAGACCGTCTGCACACCCGTTGGCTGGTCGAAGAAGGCTTCGGAACCAGCGAGTCACAGACGTCGGCCCGGCGGTCCCGGTGTGAAACGTCCCATCCGACGATCCACCGTGGATGTGGATAGTGACGATCCACCCCGATGCCCTCCGAATCGCCTTCGACCTTCGGGGGGTCCAGGGTTCGGTCGGCGAAGTCGGGTTCTGCAGGGGAACAAGGCCTCAGCTGTCACCCTGGTGAGATGCTGAAAAAGCGGGCCAGCAGTAGAGAAAAAGATGAAAAAGGGAGTTTAGGGGTCCCTTTGGAAATGGTTTATATGTTTTAGGGCGCCCTGGTGCCTCTATAGACTATATTGTTCACCAGGATGAGGCAGGTTCTTTGCTTGTGTTTCTTTTTTCAAGCTTGCTTCCTTCTACTCACAATCCAACGCGAGAATCTAGGAACTTCATCCTGTGTGCAGTCTCCTTTGTCCATTCAATACATGGTGTGAAGGCTGGATCCGAGTCGCTTCGAAGCTGCGGTGCCCAAGGATTACTGGCGCTCCAAAGTTCAGGAGATTCGCCAGGAGATGAAATGCCTGGAAGAGGACATCCCGGGCAGCTGGCCGAAGCAAGCGCGTTTTGCGGAGAAGAACGAGATGTTCTTGGTATCGAGAGAGAAAATGGGATGCACCTTAGAGATTCCAACCATCATTAATTGAATTTAATGGGTTGAATCCCGAACAACCATTGTTTCCCAGACGCTCCAAACAGCCCTTGGTCCCTCAAAACCATAGGGATTTGAGGGTCCAGACCCCTCCATATGAGGGTCCGACCCTGCATATGAGGGGTCAGGAGCGTCTGAGTACAACACCAGGTCTGGTCCCGTCATCGACTCCCAGGGTGAGTCTCTCTTGTTTGGGGAAAGCGACTGGGTCTCCTGTTCATAGCCCCAGGAAGCAAGTACCCGACGTCGCGTACCGCTTCGGATCATGGTCCCGACGACGTCCCGGTTCGACGTGTTCGTTTTCCCGACGAGACCAGGTGCGAAACCAACGGGTCATCTGGCTCGACAACCCTACGTAAACAGGTCTCCCTGTCCAGGGCACCCGGCTGTCCGGAAGTGCGCACGGTAGGATGACTTCAAAATGGGACCCAAACTGGAGGGGTCTGAGGCTTCACCCATGTTTCAATCTGTTTGAGAGGAAAATGGGCTGCCCAGACACGACGTATGGGACTGGCGACTGCCGCCCCAGACCCCCCAAAATACCACCCCTGGCCGTGAAACTCGGCAGTCCTAGATGGCAGTCCCAGACTCATCGCGTCCTGGGCTGTTTGGAACCGAGGAAACACTCTCCAAAAGACCTTCGGGCGCGTTGTTGCGCCGCTGGACCGTCCGCGCAACATCTCCAGGACAACGGCAAGCTGCGGATTCTATTGTCGATGAGGGAGCACCCAGAGGACCGCGATGGAGATCCAGCGATGTGTTCCGTCCGATGTTCAGGTGTCCGTCTGCCTGAATTTGTCTCTAGTTTTTGGGAGTGTGGATGCAGGTCATCAGGTCATATACATCCCGGGTTCCAGAATTCCCAGATAGAAATCTGAGGTCAACAAACATGTTGTATGTTGTTCTTTCGTGCAACCCTTACGGCATGTCCTTGTCCAAAAACGGGCCCCTAAGAGGGTGCCGTTCGTGTTGGGTGCGTTCGCACATGTGCGTTCTGGGCTTTGTAGCTTGCGTGCATGGAACGCGAATGCATTGCCCACGGAACGCTCGCCCGTTGCGGGCAAGCAGGTGCGTTGCGTGATGGCCTCCACGGGGTTCTCAAGATCGGACATCGGACTGTAGCAGGTTCTTCCAATTTGGAATCTTACAGGTTCTATGAATCTGATGAAACCAACCCCCACCACAGGACTTAGACAACACGACGTCTTCGATGACAATTTGAATTATGGCCAGGCCCCACCCCCCCTACTCCCCCCAATGTTCTGACCGACACGCAGTGTCCATTTCACAAGTGCAGAAAGCTTTTCCCTTTTTGCGGGCGGTAAAAATATCATGTTTGGGAAAGCTTGGCTTTGTGCATTCGAGATTTGATTCGGATAACAGGCTTTTGGATTTTGGTCGCTTACCTATGGTACCATATTGTCGCCTGATCGGGGACCTACTGATATTGATGTGTTCTATTTCTTTAATGACCCTTTTATGTCAAATCCAGTGTGTGTTTGTTTCAAAGCTTTTTTGTGGCTCTTCCTCGTTTCCTGGAAGATCCTGAAAAGGCACAAGAGGACGAGAAAGTTTGGATCGGGTTTTGCCGGAGCAAGTGTGAACGAATAGAAATAGCAATGGCCTCGAACCTAGTAGCGATGGCCTCCAAGTGTGAACGATGATTGCATGAGGTGTCTTCCGAATAGAGGCTGATAGAGCCTATGATTCTAATTAAATTCTACTAGCTTGTTTCTACGTTCGCTTCTTGTTACTAGCAGTAAGGCCCTTGCTCCTAGTAGCGATGCCCTTTGCTCCTAGTAGCGAACATCTTCCGAATAGAGGATCGTCTTGGCTCACCCTTTCAGGATGGCAGTCCGTGAGCCGCAAGTCCGTTCGCTCAAGCCGTATCTCGGAGCCTCAAAATCCGGGAAATTGGGATCCAATGGTCTCAAAAACAGCCTCGTTGTCATGGCTGTGGCACGTTAGTTTGACTATATCAGCTGAAAACTGATGGTCTTCTTGTGCGACACCGCTTTTTGGTGTGCCGAAAAGCCTCAAAACCAATCATGAAGCATCCACGTCCCCGGTCGCGGCGCTCCAAATCGAGACGCGGGTCGCGACGCGGCGAACGTCTGGCGCTCAAAGAAGCGCGGTCGCGGAGGGGGGGGGTGCACGAGCGCTGCGGACCCTACGAGTATAGCTCCTGGCCTTACTACTACTAAGAAAGGACGCCTCCAACCTAAGAGCAATGGCCTCCAACCTAGAAGCGATGGCCTCCAACATAAGAGCGATGGCCTCCAACCTAAGAGCAATGGCCTCCAACCTAAGAGC